CGGGGCAGATGGAGCAATATACACATGGGATAAGGACTCAAAAACTAGGCTTTCTTCACTGCCTAATCTGGGCGGCTCGATTACCGCATTGGCCTTTTCCAAACATACAGATGTCGTTTACTACGCTATTGGGTATGATTGGTCCAAGGGGTATGAAAATCACCTCCCCAACTCAAAACTCGGGGTTTATGTTCACAAAATGGCAAAGTCTGCGATCGAGCCAAAGGCACAGGCCGGTATTTATCGGAAGCGCTAATAAACCAAATTTACGCCAAAAGACCCGAATTTACGCCAAAAGACCCGAATTTATTGTGCATAACGTTGGGGGACGTGCGATGCCGCTACCAGTTGCATCAAAGTACAAGTTGAAATATACTCTAACCCTAAAAATCGACTAGTCCTCCATGATGCCATTAAAATTGCGTACCTTCAACGCTCGACTAAGAGGATATAGCACCACACCTGGGCAAAACGGATGCAATTCAGTTGAATTGGCTTACAAGATCAGAAAATGTCCCCACAAATACAAGTGAAGAAGCAGCCAAAGGCTCGCATTTGACCCTTCCATGCAGTCTGGGATATCGTTCATATACGGTGGCTGGGATCAAATCGGATGCCAGAGCTGGATCATCAACTAGCACAAAAAATCTGTGCTTGTTCAATAATTCTTTCGAACAGCCAATTATGAATTCCATTTCTGAAAAGGCATTTGAGGCCTCCTTTGAGGTTTCGTGATATGCGGCACGGAAAAGGTCATTCCTGAGGAAATGGAGCCTTTTTGATTCTGCCGCATCATTGCGAATGGTGTCGATAAACACTTTCAAGGCTTCAAACAACCCCGACGGTAATAGCAATGACCATCCTGGAAAGTTCGCAGTGCGTCTAATGTATTCTCTGATACGAGACTCGTTCGATTTGGCAAGAATCAATCGAAGCGAAAATGTTGTAACACCTCCTCCATGTAAAGGCAAGATTTCTGCGGGTACTCTTTTGTTAATTGGGGTCGACAGTAGGGCGTTTGGATGCGTTCCAAAGACGAAAAAGCGAATGCCAAACCGAAGACGAAGAAGATTTGGAACCCACGATTGATGGTGGAGCATCGACAGAGCAGCATGATGGACCTAAAATTAACAAAGAGACATACAAAAATGACGTCAACATCGGGCTGCTCAGAAAAGACCAGCTGCGCGGGATCGCCTTTATATACAGCACCTCGACAAAGCACAAGCCAGCGCCCAAACTGCTGCACATCGAAAAGAGAAGATGAAGCATGTATGGAAAACCTGAATCTTTTTCTTTGAAATAGGATTCTTGGGATGTTATAAATGGAATTTAGGGATTGGCTCTCAACAAAGCCCCAGCTTTGAGAGTATTCTAGAGAGCCCTTGATGGATGTTTTCGAATTGAGATGATCTTGCACGAGGGCTCCCTTGCCATTCAA